GATAATTCCAAATATATAAAGACGCCAACATTTTGCATAAATTTTACATTTAATCACGAGTTTTGATAACAAAAACCAACATCATAGCAGATGTTTGATATTATTTTAATCCGATGTCCATTAGTTAAATTCGATGTTGACTGTTTGCTTTCTTGTTTACAGTCGTTCCGGGCCTCCTCCGCCTCCTCCGCGACAATATCCGAGCGCACATGGCACCTACCGACTCATAAACCGAGTTTTGAAAGGCGGCCAAACAGGCTTCGGAGACGTCTATCATCCCGGATTCTCTATCTTCAAAGTGAGTCGCACGTTTATTGACTTTTGTGTACTTTCAGACCTACAGTGCAGCAGTCTTTCCGTGGAACACTAATTTTAGATAAACGATTCCAAATAACCCCTTCTCGCCTCCCCTATCCACAGGTTGATCGAAATCGAATAAAAAACTGCACCCGCAGCCCGTGACGCACACGCAATTTTGCGAAGAGAGGAGAAAATAATGCCACGGTGAGAATAGAAAGTACAGTAGAGTCTCGATTATCCGCGCCTCGGTTATCCGCGATTCGGATTATCCGTGTCTCGGTCATCCGCGATTCGGATTATCCGCGCCTCGGTTATCCGCGATTCGGATTATCCGCGCCTCGGTTATCCGCGATTCGGATTATCCGCGGTCTGTGGAGCGGACTTTTTTTTTACTTTTTCTATTTCTTATGAAAGCGACCGGGACCGAACGGAGAAATTCGGGGTCCTTCCTCTCCTCTTCGGTATCTCCGGTCCCAATTATCGCGGATAATCGAGACTCTACTGTATCGTGTCTCGATCGCGAAGTTTCAAACTTTTGCTATATTTTTTTATTTTAATAGAAAAAAAAAAAAAAAAAAAAAAAAAAAAAAAAAAAAAAAACGGCAGACTGAACTGTATACTTATTGGATGACAAAATTCCAAGAAATAGCGTTCAATTGTTTCGAAAGATGAAATATAACTAACAACCTAAATCCTCGCAAATCGAGATCGTGTCTTTTGACTTTCACGATCGATAAGTGTTGACAAATGCCGGTGTTTGACACTTACATTCTGTTTGACAATCGCGAGGAAAATGGACAGTCGCCAGTTGCACTGCCGCATGCCGACTGTGTGGTCTGGGTGCATGACTGCATGTGCGCTCGGTCAGAATGTAAGTGTGACGACGGTTTTTAATAGGTGCAAAATATATAAGTCGAAAATCACGAATCTTGGATTGGAACATAGGCGGATCCAGGTACTTCACACGAGGGGGGCAGAAGGGAAGTCCGGGGGACATTCCGCAAAAAAATTTCCAAATTTTAAAGCATCTAATATGCAGTTTGAATCGATTTCGTCATGAATAATCAACAAATATAAGCGTTCCTTCTTCTTTCTTCCGTTACTTCCTGCATTCTCTCTTCTCTTCTTTTCTGCCTTTTTTTCGGTCGAACGGGAGGGGCGTATGCCCCCCTACGCCCCCCTCCCTGGGATTTGCCTATGATTTGGAGTGTCGCAGACTCGTAAATTCAAGAAACTCTCTCTATTGTCTTGTAGTGTTTCATGTTATCAATTTTCTCCGACTGGTACAAAACTTTTTTCTCAGAATAAGGAAAAAGAGTGAATCAATGGAAGGAGCACACATGTAAATGTTGACAGGGGCCTAATTTTGTGGGTACTTTTGCACCGAAGTGCATCAGCCGTTGATGAGCCAAAACTGCACCGTCGACCAATCAGAAGCCCTAAAATGGACTTCTAGAGCTTAACTCATCTTAACGGACTATTTCAGTGCGCTCGCGCATTTTCAGCCCCAGGTGAGAAAAGTGAGGTACAGGCGTGAGAGTGAGAGGGAGACTATATAGCACACTGTGTGCTTGGACGAAAATAATGAACTAGTGTCCCCTTTCATGGNTTATTAATTTTTGGCTTCGGGCCTAGAATAATGACCTTCCAAACCAATTTTTAAAGTCTTACCACACTATGTATTTACGTACCGAAAGTCGTATCTGTAGAGTTTGGCGCCTACTTCTTCTACCATATACACTCCATCGGTTGTAGAATTATTGAGATGACAATCCTTTCCCAATGTAGGTAATTCAGTGCCACATTTTCGAATTCAACCAATCTCATCCCCCTTAATACTCATTTAGGTGTTGTTTTATTTATTCCATTTTTTTGGCATATAGTAAAAGGTTACGTTTAGTTTAATCGGAAATTCGAAATTGAGAAGTATCTTTTCGCAATTAAGACATCACTAATGTGTCAACACGCTTCGTCAAAAGCAACCACATTAGTCACTAATGTACGCTACTTCAAATCCTTGCAATGTCGATTGGGTTTTAAAATGATGCAACTATTCGGCCTCCGCGGCCACACTAGGAAGTATCAATTCTCAATGAAGGCGTTTCTCATGCGTCGACAGTAAGTTCGCATCAAATGACGGACCTCTGGGCAAGGCATGAATTTTAGCATTCTGATACATTTCCTTTTCTTAAAATTTCACGTAAAACACGATTTGCAGAGAAAATTATTGAAATCAACATGTAACTGAGATATAAATTATCCCTCTAGTTTACATTGGTTGGGGGAACTTAGAATTTCCCGCTCACAAGAGAAAAACTAGTCTACTTGAATCGAATTGTGCACTACAGCGCTTACGGCAGGCTCCTTAATTAAGCAACGTTCCTTCCTTGCCTTGTGCTTTTCAAGGTGTTAACAGCGTGCAACAGCTAAGCCGAAACACTGAATTTGAGGTTTCCCCACTTTCCCCCTTTTTCATACCGCGGAGGTTGTTAGGCGTAGGGTAACGTTTAGTGCACGATTTGACTCCCATAGACTTTTGTTTTTTCATGAGAGGAAGGTTTGCATTTACGCATCGAAGAACATTAAATATCTTATGTAGGAGTTAATTTCAGTAATTTTCGTCGCGCAAATCGTATTTGACGTGAAATTTTGATGAGGTCCGAGGGTGAGAAGGCATCAGAACGCTTAAATTCGCACCTTGTCCAGCGGTCCATAATCTGAAACAATCGAATTCATTCGCACTAATCCAAGCTGGTACACTGTTGATTGGGTTTTCAAATAATGCAACTATTCGGCCTCCGCGGTCACGCTAGGAAGTATCTTTTCTCAATGAAGGCGATTTGTAAGCGTTGACACGCGTATCAAAACATCATCTCAAGCAACCGCATCACTCACTAATCTAAACTGCCGGAATGGTGCCTGGGTTTTTGAGGGATACAACTATTCGGCCTCTGCGGTCACGCTAGGAGGTATTTTTTCTCAGTGAAGGCGTTTTTTTAAGCGTCGCTGCTCTTTGTGAATCCTTAGCCTTTCATCAATGCCTTGCTACCTTGCATCTTTGATTAATGCCTTTTCATCTTCGTGCCCATTTTTCCTTCCCCTCTCTCCCTCTTTTTTCTCTTTTCCTTCTTGTTTTCGCCCTCTTTTCTCTTCCTCCCTTTTTTTTCTTCTGGCCTCATATCCCATTCGCTTTTCTCTCTCTTCCTTCGTTCCCCTGTCTTTTTAGTTTTGGCGCCTTTGGTACACGGCGCCTGGTTTTATCACTCCCTTCATTTCACCTTCACGATGGCATTGCTTAAATCCAGCCCTATGTCCCATCACTTCATATTTTCATTTAAAAATAGGTATATTGCTTTAGAAAGACGAGAGGGTCTTGATTCCCCACACCCACCTCATGGCCCGAAAAGAATTTAAAAAAGGTCATTCTTCGCGCTTTTTTGACACGATTGTAGTCTTTGACCCCTGCCCCCAACCTAATGAAATCGTTGACCATGAACACCCCCCCCCCTCCCCTCGCTTTAAGAGTTTTTGGCTAAATCACTAAATGTATTTTTATGTTATTTCAAATTTTTTTCCGACAAACTTAAAGTAAAGGAGCTAATCCTATGTTTGATCCCCTCTATCCCTTATTTTACCTGCCTCAGGTTCAGGGCCGGATTTACCTACTTGTCGCCCATGGGCCGCCTGTTTTTTTGCCGCCCCCTTCTCATTCGTGTTGAAACATCAATAAAAACCATCAAGTGAACGTGCCGGAGGGGGAGGGGTGGATAAGGCGCGTTTACCTACTCGTGTTGAGTACATTTTTTGCGAAAGCCCTGTCAACACTGCTAGCAAAATTTCACGGAATTTTGCGTGAAAATTGAGTTCTGTAAACATATCTCTGTGTGAACTAGGTCCTCCATTTATAAGAAATGAACCAAAAAGTTGAAAGAACTAACATAAATGTGGTTTAATAATTTTAACTTCCGCCGCTACGCCGTGCTGATCGCACTGTGTTTGGCGCAATGCGTGAAGTATTCATGCAGTCTTGTAGGCGCTACGCGTTTCACGCCAACTGCTCCTGACCGGCGCACTGTGTTTGACGCAATGGGTGAAGTATTCATGCAGTCTTGTCGGCGCTAATATGTGTTACATGTCGACCGTAGTGCCGAGGGCTTGTCCTTTTCATCTCAAGTCCTCGTCATCACTCCTCTTTGCACTGAGCTCCAGGCCAAATTGCGTGTTTAGTTCCTCTCTTAACTCGATTAATTAAAGATGCTGTCTCTTTTATCACCGGAAAACGATAAAATTAGAAATTACTATACTCTCAGGAAAGAGAGATTTTGTCCCCTTTTCTCATTGATAATTCTTTTTCCTGAATCCGATTTTTTTTATACCTACGTTTAAAAAAAATTGCAAAATTTGCCGCCCCCTAAGTTTTCCCCGGCTCTGCTCAGGTGACCGTCGCGCGACGCTTACTTTGAGAGTCGGATCTTTAAACCCCGGTCGCTTAGCCGAGGATCGAACTCGGAACCCCATAATCTCGAGGCCAGCGCTACAACCACTACACCACAGAAGCCCACAATTATGACAACCGTGATTCTCATCTGCCGGCCCACGCTACGTCATCAATACAATGGAAAGGGCGGGGGTGGGGCCCGCGAACCCGCGATGGACTGGTTTAGTGAAGGGGGATCCATGGGGGGCGGGGGATCTGCGCAGTGACTGACCTTAGTGTTTAGATTATGGATGTTGTGTACGACGGCGTCTCACGCCTGACTCAACAAGTGTTTCGCGTAGCGCCTTTTCATTGCCCCTCTGCTGAACGCTGGATTTTGTTATTTTCGTATGTTTCGTCATACTGATTGTTGGCCTTGCGACCGACCCGAGCCCGCGGTGGTCTTTCGTTTCCAGCCACACCAGAAATCAGTCGGTATTCAGTCGTCTGCAGACACAGCTAATTTCAATGCCTTATTAGTAAGTCGTGACGTACCCAAGAAGGAAGCCGTGTTTTGAGACCAGTGTTTCAGGACTCACACGTTCTATGTTTTCTCCAGTGCTTAATTTTTTATCTTCACGCTTTCGTGAACTCGCAATCTAGAGAATGTGAATCAGTGTTCTTCAAAGTGTGTTTTAACCGAAATATGTGCTGCTGCAACGAAGTTTTTAACCTGATATTTCGGTATTCGTTGCCACAATAAGCAAGTGGTCTTGCTTATCAGAGTCCCCACGTGTGCTTGTTTTTCACCCTTATCAGCTGAAATAATTAAAACAGTGTTTCATTATGGGTGAAGCTACGAATTTGTTAAATGTAATGAACGGAGCTTTGCAAGCGCTCAGCTCTGGCGAAGCAGACTTCAATCGAATCATCTCGGAGGCCAAACATATTCTACCAAAAATTACGAATCACCTGAAAGTTGTAAGTAAGATTTATTGTTGTCAGCAACTTTCAACCCTAATTTATCTCTACTGAGCTTACTCCAACGAAGTTCCTGGGAATTTCAGTGCTCGCGGAGTCTGCTGTTTCCAATTAAGTACCTCAAAAATCCTATAATCATCATTTGGATAAAACGAATGCAACTCCTCGGCTGTGTTATTGTATCCCAACAGTCAATACCTGGAACATTGTGGCAGCTCTTCTCTAGAAGTATGATTTGAAATTGATTTAATCAATACTACCTGTGTACTGGACTGTTAAAAAGGAAAAATCGTAGATAAGATGAAACCAAAGCGAACACCACATAGCAGGGAATATTGCAGTATTACTTTCGAAAGAGAAACAAATAATATCGGTATCCAATATCTATCAAATTAGGTGTTAATATTCTGGTTACGCCATTATGGAGGGATTTTATTATAAAAAGCTGTTGTCCCAGATGTGGTGAATCGCTTTTTTTCATAACTTAGTCAACGACCAGCGTTCAAAATAAGAATGTAAACAAAGGGGCACAGGGCAACATAACCTCACTCTTGGAACTTGCTTCGATTTTTTGAGAATCGTTAATTTATCTCATGCAATCTTGGGGGTTCATCAGGCGGAAACGCACATTTGAGGAGGTACAAAACTTATAATCCGACAGCGCAAGTCTACAATCACATATCTTGTTTGCGGTGTTTGAAAATCTCCGCCTTTGTGTTATTTTTTTAAAGGAGAGCAAATCAACATCATTCCTTGAAGTATTTGCAGAATTTTCTTCGCACAGAGAAGAAAAATCACGGCAGTTTTAAAAAATTGCCGATGAGTAGTTTTCCGTTTAAAAAATAAGGTATGACAGGAAGTCTGCGACTTCGCAAACCGAGTAATGTGATTGCCGACTTCCACCGTCGAATTGCAAGAAAATCCAGCAAAAACAGTCTGAATTTCTCCAAAATTAAAGTTTGAAAATCAACTTTCCGTTCCTTATGGGAAATCCCATGTTAATTGAAGTGACCGAATCTTGGCTAGGACACCAGGCATTGCAATTTATCTTGAACTGTGATGTCAGCACAAATACAGTCTATTCCCTCATTTCAAGGAAAAAATTTTATAAGGAAGGAAATGTGTCTGCGGGTTACATGAATGTCCGGAAATACACCCACGACAGGAAGTTTTCAAACGTGAAGAAAAAAAGGAGAAAAAAAAGGTCATCATTTCAAACAATTTCGGAAAGTGAGGAAATTTTTTGAAATTGATGAAGGCATTAATCCTGGATTGCGTGAAAATTTCATCCGAACGTCTTTTTTTTGTACCCATATGAGATTGTCCTGAAGCCCATCCTAATGCTACCCAAGTCGGGGGGGTGGGGGGATCATGAAACATTGCGTACAAAAAGCTCTTATTTTTCATCACCAAATCTGCATTCTAAGTGATGATGTTTCCTTATTCTTGTGCGGCTTTTTGTGCCAAGGCACTAAGGTCAAGCCGTCATTAATAGAGGAGGTACCTAGAAAAATAAAATTTAAGCAATTTTTTTTTTAAAAAAAAAAAAAATCTTATAACTTATTTAATTAGAAAACAGGGAACGGTCGGGAATGACAACCCCCCAACCCCCACCCCCTTCCCCCCCGGCTCTCTCCCCCGTAGTCTCCTGTAGTTCCCAAGGCAGGATCTCGAATGGCTGTATGATGTGTTGTCATTCATTGTCTTGAGTCCAATTCGACTAAAAAAGACCAAGAAAGTCTCCTTTCCAAACTTCCAAATCTCAATCTCGAGCTATTTTTGTGGCACAGATGGTGGACGGGTGGTCTGTTCTCATGCACATTTGTGGAAAATTTTATTGTTTCTGGATCGGAGTGACCAGGCTACTCTGACAGTGAGTAGCTGCGTCCTCTCACTCAGTGGCTCGGAATGATGTCAGGCCACATTCCTGGGTTCCCATCGCCGCGGCCACGCGGCATGATGGCCTTGCGGCTGCACGGCATGCGGCATCGGCGGCTATACCGCCGCGGCGCACCATGGTATGGATTCAAGTGGCAATAAAACGTAAAAAAAGGTCCGAAAAATATCGATACTTGGATGTAAGTCAACAGTATACAGGGTGATCCAATGTTAAACGGCCAGACTGCAGGAGCTTGTTCTATGGGTCAAAATAAGACTTTTGTTGTTTAAAGATTTTTCGGAAAGTGCCCCCAGTCGGACCTACGCCCCCCCCCCCCCAATCTTGGAAAGTAAATCGTTTTACCTTAATTTTGGCAACTGTTGTGAACCAAAGCTCTTGTAAATTTGTACTCCCCTGTACAATGATGCCCTGAATTCACAAATGATCTTAAAAAATCGAAATCTCAATTTAAAGAGGGGATGAGGGGAGTTTAGGGATGTTTCGGCTCCTGCAGTACAAAACATGTACGTTGCACGCTGTGGATTCTAATAAAACTTGAGCCAAAATCGGCAACTATATATGTGTATAATACAAATATAGCCAGAAGCATCTTCAATGTATTTGCAGTTACGTAGTTAAGAAATGGACAATCGCTAGCTGTCAGGTACGAGGCAACATAAACATAACCTCAAACGCAGCACGCTGAGTGACTGAGATTATGGTCGGAAGTCCTTGCGTGTTGCACTTCAGATATTTGTCATTCATATCTTATCGGTGTTTCAATTGACTAGATATTTTACTACCGTATTCACCAGAGTAAATACTATCGATCCACATCCCATTATCGAACTGTTTCCGACCCTCTTCTTCTCGATTTATTGCCACTTAACTCGGAATAGGGAACCATCGTGCGGCGCCGGCGCTGCACCAAGCTGTAATTAACGCCCTCTGATTCAGTTCCGTTCGTTGTCATCATTCATAAGGTCTCATCCATCCACCCTTTTTCCATTAGTCGATGCCTAGCGTGCCTAACACTTGATGTTAAAACTACAGAATCATGCATCTCGTCTTGCGACGTTGCAAGTTTCATTATTGCAAACAATTAGATGAGAACTTTCCTTGCCTCTTAAAGATTTTTTTTTCGTATTATAGTGTCAAATAGAATTTCTCTTGGAAATTTTGAAGGAGTGCAGTCGAGATGCGTGTTTCTGACACTACAGTCCCACCGTTGAACCTTCATTTTCTGATGTTTCAAACACCGCGATCCTACCGTGTAGCACTTGGCCGAAATTTGTGCCACACCTTGTTGAGGTCCGGGGAGTACCATACGTTACCATCCCCTTTTCACGCTTTGAAATGAAATACACACAGTGTTCTCATTGACCACGTAGTACTAGCTGTGTGTAGTGAAAATCAGCGTCCATAGTCGGGTCCGGATTGAATAGGCAACTGAACTAACTGGGGCCGGATTTACCTTCTCTCCGCCCATGGGCCGCCTGTAGACGTGTTTACTCGCGTTTGGCACATTTTTTGTGAAAGCCCTGTCAACACTAGCAAAAATTCACGGAAATTTGCTCGAAAATTAAGTTCCGTAGACCTATCTCTGTGTGGACGATGCCTTTCATTTATAAGAAAAGAACGAAAAAATTATGAATAAGAATAAACACGAATGTGGTCTAATGATCTTTATTTCCGCCACCGCGCCAACCGCACTGTGTTTAGCGCAATGCGTGAAGTATCCCTACAGTCTTGTAGGCGCTGTGCGTTTCATGCTGACCGCTGCTGACCAAGTGACCGCACTGTTTTTGACGCAATGCGTGCAGTATTCATGCAGTCTTGTAGGCACTATGAGTTTCTCGCCAACCGCTGCTGACCGCACTACGTTTGACGCAATGCGTGAAGTATTCATGGAGTCTTGTAGGCGCTAATATGTGTTCCATGCTGACCGGTGCGCCGATAGGGCTTCTCCTTTCCATCTCAAGTTCTCACCATCATTGCTCTCTGCGCCGTGCCGATCCAGGCCAAATTGCGTGTTTGGTTTCTCTCTCAACTAGACTAATGAAAGGCGTTGTCTCTTGTATCACCAAAAGACGAACAAATTAGCAATTACTATACTTTAACTCTCAGGATATGAGAGAGTTTGTCGCCTTTCCTCATGTGTGATTCTGAATCAGATTTTTTTCTTGATACCTACATTTGAAAAAATTACAACATTTGCCGCCATGGGCCGCGGCCCATGTGGCCACCCCCTTAATCCGGCCCTGGAACTAACTGCATAACAAAGTGTGGAGCATCACGAGTAAATGAAGGCGCTCCATGCTGAGCTGTGTCTTCCAAGTCCTATACCAATAACCTTCATTACGTCGTTTGTGCCGAGGCAACTCCTAAGCCGCTCGTAAATTGTCGGAGATTGTTAATTTCCTGCGAGTGCATAGTGAGTTAGAAGTACTTGCTGCGCGAGAAGAACGTAAGTCGCTGATAATAGGTAGCTAGTGCGGGCGCAGGGTCAGATGAGTAAAGACGTATGAGGAGCGAATGCATCAGCCGCTATCACAACTTTCGCTTCACAAGGACCTGAATTACAAATTCAGTGTGAGTTTCGAGTTTCGATCGGCACCACCCCCATCCATGGGCGCAACTAAAAGCTATTTGTGGGGAGGCACCAGGCACGTCATCAACAGGGTCGGGGGAAGCACATTAATAAGCAACCTACTATAGGAGGCTCAGGGGATTCCGCCAGGTTTTAAGGAGGGTTCGGGGAGGACTCGCCTAGCTCTGAAGAGGGCCCGAGGACCTCCTCGAAAAATTTTGAAAATTGGCTAGTCTTCGGAGCAATATCGAGCTGTTCGTATCAAAAAATTGATTGAATTAAAATTTCAATGATGAGTTTGTCACGGATGTAGCAATATTTCTTTTATTTTTTGGGAGGACCAAACAAATTTCTGAGGGAGGGCAGGGGCAAGCCGCAGGCCCCCATATTTTCACTCCCAGAATCACTCCTTCCGAAAATAGAAAAATTCTTTTCTGAAAAGCCATGAATAATGCATGCAAAAACTCGCATAGCGGGGAGTGGCTGCAAGTTTCAAATGAAGATGGTGAAGTTGAAAGCTCTTTCAACTTG